TTGATTTATTTAATTAATTTGCTAATTTGTTTAGAAAAAAATAAAATAATTTAATTAATTCAATATAAAAAATAAAAAAATTATTTAGTTTCGGTTCTTATTCGGTTCTTCGGTTCTTGGTCTAGACCCGAGACCCGACCCAAACCCATCGGTTCTCGATTCGGGTACCCGTTCGGGTATTTAATTTATGAAGAATCGCTCGGTTCGGTTCGATCCGGTTCGGTTCGGGACTTTTGGACACCCCTACTCCTATGGAACGACAAAATGACACTCCGAATCAAAATTCTCCTATTCTAGAGTCAAAAAGAGGCCGGCCACCACAGAAAAATTACATTCACAATTGCACTCACAAGGAATTAAAAAGATTAAATAAATGGTGGTTATAAAAGAAGACAAAAGTAGCATATATAAAATAAACTTAAAATATATATCCAACATCATTAGTGCAGTAAAAAACAAGCAGGTCTGGCCCTTTTTCTCTTTATATCATCATTCATAAAGTAAAGCCAACACACAAACAACTGAACATTCTTTGTTGAATCAAGGACAGCTCCCAGACAAAGGAGGTGAATTTTCTCAATCTTGCAGACATCACTTTCTTTATTTTCTAGACCTTTTAATTCATAAGAATCCATGGATACTGCTCAATGGACGCAGGTGAGTGGTTTTTAACAGTCAATAAATCTTAGAATTTAGTTTTTCTTGATTTTTGTTTTACCTGATTAATTCCTTCCAGATTGAATAAGTAAGTTTGGTTTTATGTAAGTGAAAATTTATCTTCAATTCAATTTTCACCTTTTATATTCTTCTTTTGCCTTTTTTTTTAGCCTTTTCTTTTCAAACTAAGTTCTAACCAGTTCTTTAGTACATGAAAGCACTGCACTTTTTCTTAATTTCCCTTTTTTGCATGTGTGATAATCGTTAGCCGGATAAAGGATTAGGAAAAATGTATTATTAGTTATTTTTCAAAGTGAAATTAAAGCTACATACCTATTTTTTTTTTTTTTTTAATGTATGCTAATTAGCTATCAATTTATCTATTTATCCAGTAATATTTCATCAATCCCAAACAGCTATTACCGATCATCCTTTTGCAAATAGTATAGGTGCATATTTGGTAGAAAGAAGTTAAAATCTTATTAATGCTGAGTCGTGTTTAGGAAATTGGAGCGGCGAAATCAATGACAGAGATAACTGCAAATACGTTCCCAAATGACAGAAAGGTGAAGCCACAAAAGGACCACCCTCTTAATTGTCCAAGGTGTCATTCAACCAACACAAAATTCTGCTATTACAACAATCACAGTCTTACTCAACCAAGATACTTCTGCAAGACCTGTAGAAGGTACTGGACTGAAGGTGGTACCCTAAGAAATGTCCCAGTTGGGGGTGGTTCAAGAAAGAGCAGAAAATCCACTTCTTCCTTATTGTCAACACCCCATAAAATTCCTGATCTGAACCCTAGTTCAAGCATTTCACAGTTTACCTCTCAAAATGATGGACAAGATCTTAGCCTTTCTTATCATGGTATCCCACAGTTTCTTGAATTTCCTAAAATTGAGAATAGCAACACTGTTAATTCTTTATCTTCTTCCTCCACTCCTTCTACTCCACTTTCTGCCTTAGATTTGCTGAGGACTGGAATTGCTTCAAGGGGTTTTATCCCTACTCCAGCTCTGGAAAGAAATGCCGTTTTCGCATCTGGGTTTCCATTCCAAGAATCCAAGCCAGCTATTGATTTTTCCTTTGACAGGCTTGGGATTAATATGTATGGCGAATCCAATAAGGGAGACAACGAAAATGGTGGAAAATCAGAGTTTCCTTTTGGAGCAATGAGACAACATATGAGCAATAAAACAGATCAGAGTAAAGGGCAGGAGAATCCAAATGGATACTGGAATGGAATGTTTGGTGGAGGATCTTCTTGGTAAAAAGGAGATGTACAAGAAGAACAAGAACTTGCACCTTTTCCTCTTCATTTTATTTTTGTTCGTTTTCAATGTTTCTTAGTTGTTCGAAGCTGTGTAGAACTAACATAGTACTACAAGATTGACATGGTCTCTTTCTTATTTACTTCATTAAAGTAAGCTATTTGTAGAACAAACTAGTCGTGACTTGAACTCGTATGTTTGATCTACATATGCATTATATGATAGTAACAAACTTAGCCTCCATTTGTGAATAATTTATAAACAGTTTAATTTATAATTGACAGACACGAATGATAAATAAATGGATAATACTTGTAGATAATTGGAACATGTGATTAAAAGTGAAGTTTGACTATTTATGAATGATTTGTAAACTTTTGCTAAACGGAGCCTTAATTAATCAACCTCTAACCATTGGTTACATGGGGTTTTGTTTAGTTTAGTACCCTTGTAATTTATAAATATGCATGAAATGACTAATTATGTCTACATAAGTACAAAGAGAAATTACCATATTTATATAACTACAAATATGTGAAAAAAGGTGAAAAATTCTCGTAGATAGGGGCAGATCCAGCACCCGGCCAGCCCCCGCGGCCACCCATGCTGGATCCGCTGGAGCAATTTTTTTTTTTTTTTTACGATAAATAAATTTTCTGGTTAGTGCTGAAATTTATATCATTTTCAAACATATTCTTTAGCTCAGTTGGTTAGAAGTCACATGTTTATGTTTTTGGTCCCGGGTTCGAATCCCTTCCCATGTAACTTATTTGAAAAATGTTTTTAATTATACTATTTTACTAAAATTAATGCAATATGGGAGCCGGGAGGGGCTGGAGGGGTTTCAAACCTATGATGTCGTGCTAAGGTAAAGAAGACTTGACCATTATGGCACTTCTTAATATTGACACTAACTTCAACAAAATAATATATGTTAGGTTGGTCTCGATTTTAATGCAATTATAATACTCGAACTCGTAATCTTTCATTTGAATTATGGAAAGTTGGCCACAATGTCATTTGGTAAATACTATTTTTTCTAACAGAATTATAATATTTAATATATTTAATTAGTTAACTAACTTTAATTTATTGCTTTTTTTATTTTATTTCAATATTTTTTCTTTGACTAATTTATGAAGTAAATTTTTTGTGAATTTCTGAAGTNACTAATTTATGAAGTAAATTTTTTGTGAATTTCTGAAGTAGAGAAATTGTGAATTAGTTAATTGGTAAATTTAGGAATTTGTTAATTAGGGAATTTGTGAATTGAAAGTTTTGGAAATTTGTTAATTGGGGAATTTAGAAATTTGTGATTTGTGATAAATTTGTGTTGAAAATGTGAAATTGAAACTACAAGTGGCAAGTGCAAGTGTTAAAAGGACATTCTCTATTATCAATATAATCAAGAGTGACTTGCGCAACAAAATGAGGATGACTGGTTGAATGAGAATTTAGTAGTGTATATTGAGCGAGAAGTTTTTTTTAAAGACTTGATAATGAGACAATCTTGCAGCGCCTTTAAAATATGAGACCACGGAGATTCTAGTTATCTGAGCGTACAGTTAGAAAGTGAAGTTGTATTACTTATTTTTATTTTGGGTTGTATTGGATTATATTTTTATATTACAGCATTGCTATGTTTTAGTGTATTTATATATTAATCAAACAATTTTAAATATTATTTAATTAAAAATTAATAATCAATATCGTCATTCATGTCGTTACGGTCAACGATCAATGATCGTCGGCCGCCCGTGCTCAACTTCACGGCTAGATTCGCCTCTGCTCGTAGACATGCCCATCACGTATAAATTAGATTCATTTTTATTTAAAAAAAATTGGTACATGCACATTTTTTATAAAACTTGGTGACATTGAAACTTGAAGTTAGGTCTTTAATGACAGATGAATTAAAGAAAGAATTATATGTTTGGCTAAAGATGGCAAGATGATTGCAATAAGCAAATGCAAAGATAAACTTCGAGAATGTCAATGATGAAAAGCAATGGTGATGGAATTTAAATTATAAGCAGTAATTAGCCAATTATTAGAAATATAAAAAACAAAAGTTCACCTGCTGCATCAACAAAATATCTCACCTAACTATTTCTATATATACATATATATCAACTCAGTCTGAACCGAAGGACCCTTAGTTGTCATTTATATCCAGTACATGTCAAATGTTAATCAAATACACAGGAAAGTTTGAAGAAGCCAATAGGAAATCAGTAGAGCGGGTCCCTCCAAAACACTCTTCTTGACTCAGAAATAGTTACCTACTTTGTCCCCCTTGTAGTTAAAAAATAAGATTTTTTTTTTAAACAAAGCAAAATCAATTGTTATTTGAGGCTCAAAATTCACAAATCATTGTACCCGTCTGTACAATATAGAATTGACCTCAAAATACCCAAACCCTAAGACAATAAATCAAGAGGCTATTTCAATGGATCGATCGAACAAATCAATCTACAACTCAAAAATCCCCTTCAACCACTAAGACAATATCACAAAGATAATATTCACTATGAACAATGATTAAAACTAAGTATTTTAATCCCTTCACAAAGAATTAATATGTAAGGCATAAGCCTATGAAATCAAACGGAAGCAGTCAAGAAATCTCCAAGAATATCGAACAATATACACAACAAATCATCTCCTTTTCATTAGGCTCAGAAATATAACATTGTACCCGTCTGTACAATATAGAATTGACCTCAAAATACCCAAACCCTAAGACAATAAATCAAGAGGCTATTTCAATGGACCGATCGAACAAATCAATCTACAACTCAAAAATCCCCTTCAACCACTAAGACAATATCACAAAGATAATATTCACTATGAACAATGATTAAAACTAAGTATTTTAATCCCTTCACCAAGAATTAATCAGTGAGGAAGAAATGAGCAGAACACGAAAGGCAAGAAATCCCCAAAACTCTATTCTCGCACAAAGCAATAGAAGAAAATGGGAGTACTCTCTTTCACGCACAAAGCCACAGACAGAATGAATTATATCTTCTACCAAGTGGATGGTCCAACTGGAATATAAAGACAATCCATCAACCATTAGATCAATTCTTCATCCATGGGCCAGAGCAACTCACTTAAGTTATTCATTGGGCTTGGGTATTGGGCCTGAAACTAATTGTGTTATTGGGCAATTGTTATTTAATCTTTTCCAATAACATGGGCCAAGTCCAATGGTTTCATCATTGCCCCATAGTTGAATATAAATGATAAAATTGACATCAATATTCAACAATCTCCCCCTTGATGCCAATGCCATAAACCACAAAACATATTAGTGATTCATAACACCAACACCAAGAAGATTAGTACCTACAAAACACAAAGTTAACCGGTATCAATACTTAGAATTTGCAAACACCATTTAAACTTAGAAAGAAGTAATACCTTTTGTTCCCATATCCGCGGGATTGAATTGTGTAGAGATTTTCTCAAACAAAATAAATTCACTTAACAAGCATTTAAGTCACACGGACTCTTTTATAGCTTCAATAGTAGATAAGACAATAACAGACTGCAATATAGACTTCCAACTAATGCAAGTATCACACAAAGTAAACACATATGAAGTTATAGATTTCCTATTGTCCTTGTTACTAGTATAATCAGAATCTACATACTCTTTCAACACAATAACTCTCTTTACAAAGTTTAAAATGCAATCCTAAGTCTGCATAATCTTTCCAATATCTTAAAAGCCATTTTAATGATATCTAATGCAGCATACCATCCACATACAAAAGTAGATAAACAATCACATCATTCTTATCATTTCTTTAACATAAAGATAATGATCAAATGCACTATGCACAAAGCCAATAGAAGACACATAATCGTCAAATCTAATATACCATTACCTAGGTGATTGTTTCAAAACATACAAAGATCCATTAAGCAAACAAACATGATTAGGCCTTTTAGAATCAATAAAACCATGAAGTTGTACCATATAAAATGTTTCATCCAAGTCACCATAAAAGAAGGTAGTTATAACATCCATTATTTCAAGTTCTAAAACACATTTAGCAACCAAAACAAGCATGACTCTAATAGTAATATATTTCACAACATGAGAGAAAATATCATAATAATCAATACTAGGTTTCTGAATAAACCTCTTTGCAACAAGTCTAGCCTTACACCTATGAGGCTCTTTAGAAGAACTACTCTCCTTAATATTATAAACCCACTTACAGTCCACCAATGACTTATCCTTAGGTCTGAGAACTAATCTCCAAGTATTATCCTTCACAAAGGACTTCATCTCTTCTTCCATAGCACCTAGCCACTCATTAGATTGTCGACAACTCAAAACCTCCTCATAAGATTTAGGCTCCTCAAACACTAAGTCTTGATAAGACAAAACAGCAAAATATTGATAATCACCCATCTTCACGGGTTCCCTAATCTCCCTCCTAGCTTTACCACGAGCAAGTTGATGATCACTTAGAAGATCAACCACATCACCTACTAAGTCATGTTCACCACCTTCAACAGGTTCATGAGAACCAGTGACACCATCATTCTCCCCATCAACCTCATTCTCAACTTGTTCCTCCTCAACAAGTCCAGGAGAATGATCTACACTCACTTGCATTCTAGTCTCCTCATCCTCATCACTCTTAGGATCATCACTAGAGACCCTCTTACTCAAACAAGGCATATCACCTTCATCAAAGGTCACACTCTTACCAAATGCCACTCTCTTACTCAAAATATGCAAACCCTTTCCACTCACATGAGCTAGCCTATTATGCCACTTCAAGGTAGCATCAATCTCAGCACTAGAAGACTCAGCAATGTGACTCTGAACTACACTATCTCTAGTGACATATATACCATTCCTCTTGGTACCTTTGAAAATAACTAAGGAATCCTTAATTACTTTCAAAGAACCATTACCAATTCGACCTTGCAAGCCTATGTCATCTAGACTACCCATAGAAATCAAGTTCCTATTC